GCAGAAAATCCTTCCATGTTGGCTGTCCAGTGGCCACAGGCTTGAAATTTCCTGCCCAGCTCACTGCAAGTGAGCACTGGGCCCCTAATGGGCTTTCTGGGTCATTTCCTGCTATTGCTGCTCACACTCCTATCTGTAACTGGGAAATCTTGAGACTAAGGTTGGCATACCCAGCTGCCTGATGCAGGGGATTTGCTATGAGTGAGCCAGTACCACCCAAGTTGTAGTCATGAGTTTGGGATCAGAAGAAACTGGTTGAACTCTCTCTACTGGCCATATAACCTTGGGAAAGTTCCTTGACCTCTCCAAGCTTGCTTTCAGTGCCCCCCCCCAGCCATCTTCCCTAAAAATGGTTTAGCAGACAGAGAATATGAGGCCTCAGCAACCAAGAAAGGACAGGCACAGCACACAGGCCCCTTTATTTTACGTCTTTCAGTGTGGCTTGGTCCAGAGAACATGTCCCAGATGCTCTCTCACCCCTCCGTCGTCTGCTCTGTGACTTTGCAGGGGAGGGCACTTGCCCTTTCTGGGTTTTGGTTTTAGCAGGAGCAGATGTCTTCTGGGCCATACAGTTTGCCTACCCTGTTTTATATTCGCACCTGTAGACCCCGCCAGACTGGGGCTTCCCTCCCTCTTGCTGGTGCCCTTTTCTTTCCTTTACTGTGACTTTTATCAAAAGCAAACAGGTTGATCCTTGTGATAGGGATTGCTCCCCAGCTGCCCTGTAGGAGCCACAGGGTGGGTTGGAGGGAATGATGGGCTGATTAGATAAGTAGGTACTGGTGGTGAGCTGGTGGGCACCCACATACCAACCACAGACTCCACAGGGCATGGTGGGGGCTTTGGGTGGTTGGTTTGATACTCTAGAGGCCCTGGCCATTGGCATAAGGGGTCTGGCCCCATCTGAGGTGAAGAAACCTCTTGCTGATGCTCCTAATCACCACAACCTCCTGTTTTAGAGTTGCATGCCAGCAGATGGGGCATTACTCACATGGGAAAACTGGAGTGGCTTGGGTCTTATCAGACGGTCACTCTGAGGTCAGGGCTTAAGAGTGACCATACTTGGGCCAGGCAGTGGTGACCTCTAATCCCAGCACTCAGAAGACAGAGGCAGGTGGATATCTGTGAGTTCAAGACCTGGACTACAAAGTGAACTCTAGGACTGTTACACAGAGGAACCCTAAAACCCTGTCTCAAAAAAATAAAATAGAGTGGCCATGCTTGAGGAGTCAGAGAAATGGTTCATTGGTTAAGAGCACTTGTTACTATTTCGGAATTCAAGTTTTTTTCAGCCCTCATTTCAGGAAGCTCCAACTCCAAGGGAATCTAACACCCTCTTCTGGCCTGTGTGAGCCTTTATACACACACGGTATGCCTACATACATTAAAAAAGAAAGAGAGAGAGGAGGATGGGCCACACTTAGTGCTGTGACCTTGAGGAATTTGTGTAAGATCTCTGGGCCCCCATCACATAAAGAGGAGGCCAATGCCAGTACTGTACATGCTGTTGAGGGAAGCCACTTAGATTTCAAGCCAGAGCTGGAACTGGGGTCTCAAGTCAGGTCTGATGAACTCCCAGGTCAAGGGCACCACTTGTGAGGCCAGTCTCAGCACTGCAACATGGCCCTTTAGCCTTACACTGGCAGGCTCTTTAGGATGACTTGTGAGCACCTCTTCTACAACAGTGGACTGAGGCTCTGGCAGGACAGGACATAGCCACTAGGGTAGTATCAGGGCTTGGCCTGTTGGTTTGAACACAGTTCTGCCACCCAGAGCACCCCAACAATAGCCAGATCCACACCCACCCCCAGCCAGGCTCCAGCTGAGGAGGTAGATCCTGAATTCTGTTCCTGGGGGGTGAACGCCCTGAGGGCCGTACATGACTAACATTGCAAACAGATAGATAAGCATTAGGTTCCTCGAAGATGCTTCTGGGGAATGCAATTAGGTCCTAGCACGTGTTCTAGAAGCAATGTGTATAGTTGTTTACCTGAATACATTAGCCCTTGGCCCAGTGCTGGACCTGTAGTGAGCGCCTGGTTCCTATCAAGGGCCCACCAGAGAACATTAGGGAAACTGAGGGCAGAGCCAGATATTTCAGCCCTGAAGAAGCCGACTCCTCCCTCCTATGTCACCCCTCAAAAGGGTACTGAGGTTGTTAAGTGTGGCGACTCTGGCTCAAACTCAGCCTGTCTGCTATGCACACTCCAGCTGGTTGTTGACCCTCTCTGAGCCTTAGTCTCCCAGGTATGCCAGAAGGAATCCCGTAAGTCCTGTCTGGTGCTGGGCTAAGGCACAGAAGATAAGGCCAGGGTTCATGTTAGGACAGCAGGTTTTAAGAGACAAAAGGCATGTTCTCCTTTCTCCAGCTGAGGGAACAGGTGGCCAAGGCCTGAACCAGGCTGGAACCCACCATAACAGCCCACCATAGGAGCTGCCTGTGCTCCTGAGGGCATCTGGACAGCACTTCGTTCCTCGAATTCCCAGAATAGAAGCTATGACCCAATCCCTGCCCCTGGAAGCACCTCAGGGATCTGATAGAGACTAGATCATGGCCACATCAAACACAGGATTCCTGTCACCACCGTTGAGCTCCAGTTTTTCCAGAAAGCTGACTTTCCAGCCCCTCACCTGCCAGGTGTCCCAGTGTGGCACCCATCCCTAAGCCCTGGCCTTGCTTCCTTACACTCTCAGTCTCAAGGTCCTTGGGAAAGGAACCACTTCTCCAAGCCCCACTTTTCTGGTGCTGTTTTAATTGCCATGAGAGCACCTCTGCTGGGTGCTAGCTCATTCTTTGGCTATAAGGGGTTGGTGGAGGAACTAGTTTCCAAGTAACTGAATGTCGAATAATATCACCAGGGCTGCTGTGCACAATTGCAAGTCATCCTGTACAAGGTGCCTGGGTGAACCAAGGCTGAGATCAGTTGCTGTCCTCTACCTACCTGCCTCAAAAGGCAGCCTCAGACTGGCTGACCTGGACCCTGGACCAGAGAGATGTGTTACCATAGTGATTGTTGTACATCCCTACCTCTCCTAGGCCTCCCCCAGTCCCCGAGTGCACAGTGGTGGTGCTGTCCCCCCGGGAGGTGGACCACAGCCCTTATCAGCAACCAGCCCTCTCTGGCAAAGTGTGATACCCAGAGGATAGGGTGGCTGCCGTGGGAAATGCCAGCCATGTTCTTATCTGGAAGGCTGAGCCATGGCCGTGAACTCTGATTAGGGTGCGGGGCCGTTGGTTGGTGGGTGAGCGAGGGGTTGGCACCGACTGCCTCCTTCCCCTTGGGGGCTAGAGGCAAGCTGGAGCCCAGGACTGTCCAAGAGGGCCTGGCTCCCACAGGTAGCAGGATGGATGGGTGTGGCTATGGAACTGCCCATGCCACACCCTCAGGGTGACCTACATCAACTGCCTCCCTACCTTGTGCCCCAATTTGTGAGGACACAGCCTCAGATGAAGGTATCCCTGTAACAGGGAGCTCCTGACACAGGGGCCAGGCCCCATCTCCTGAGGAATGTTCTAAACAGAATAGGAGTCATGTGGGGGTAGATGACTTAGCTGTCTGTCTCAAGATCCAGGTATACCCTTCTCAGGATAGAAATTCTCTATGACACCTAGGTGGAATCCTGGTTGGTGAAGCTTTAAGCACAGACTCTCAAAAGAATTCTCTACTCTTAATTCCATTTCTGTCCTGATGGCTATTGTGTGGGGACCAAAGACATAAGCACCAAAATACAGGGGAAGCTGACAGGTCACTGTCACAACAACAGATAAACAGCCCTGTAGTCAGTTCCGGGTTTGGATACTGACCCCTGCTGCCAGCAGTGGGCCTCGTAGGGCCTCAGTTTCCTAGACTGAAGAAAACTTCCCACAACTAGTCTCTGTGTCCCTCTTAGGACAGTGCTGCCCAGGCCTTGCCCCTGCTCCTCTGGATGGTACTGACCATCCCAGTGTCAGCCCTGAGCTGTGCCCTGTGAGACAAGGGGAGATGAGGGAGGGGGAACCAGTGGGGCAAACCTGCACCAGGACAGTGTCCCTAGTGAGCTGCAGAGGACTGGTTGCTTTTATGGAGGGCAGAGCCTGCCTTCTGGCCCCTCAGCCCCTCTCCCACTCCCAGGCTGATAAAGGGGTGCGGGCCTCCTTGGCCTCCAGCCCTGGTCCACTGCCATCTTATCAGCCCCAGGGAAGACAAAGGCCCAGTTACAGCTCTCCATGGGGCCTCCTGGCGTATTTACACCTTATCTCCACCATTAGCTGGCCAGTTATCTGATGATCAAGCCCATTAAGGCCACAGCCTGCCTGATGGGGCTCCAGGAAGTGGGGCCGCCACAGCACTCTGGCCAGGGGACTGGGCCAGGCCATGTGAGGCCTCCACAGGCTGGCAGCCTGGGTATCAGGTGGACAGGGCAGAGGGTGTGTGGCCTGAGGAAGTACCACCCTTTGAGGGAATGACCACACTCCTGCCTCCTTTAAAGAAATGGAGGCTCAGAGTAGGGCAGGTGGCTGGCCAGGTGTCCATGTGTCCTACAGCTAACACCAATTAGTGCAACCAAGGGTCTCCTTGTCCCACCTGCAGGCTATGATCCATCAGAAGTTCTAGAAGCCTCATATGGCATATCCCCTGGCTCTGTATTAGCCATCTGTCTTTCTTTTATTTAGAACCATCTGCTAATCCAGGTGATCTTATCTCTTGGTCTTTAATTTAGTCACACCTGCAGATCTTTTTGCACATGCAAGGGACATTCAGTTACAGGTGATGTCTTGTAAAGGGCTACCATTCGGCCCCATGCACAAGGTTCTGCATGAAGTGTGTGGCACACACAGGCTCTGCAGACTCTGACCAAGGCCATGGTGTGGCCTGCCTGTCCACCTCTCTGTGGTGTTTCTGCAACTCAAAAAGGGCAAAGGCCTGGCCCTAGGACCAGACCAGGAGTGGGAACTATGGGACAGAAGTGGGCTGGGGGGTCACCAAGCAGCCACCTCACCCCACCATGTTTCCCTTCAGAGGAGCTGGAGCTGGCACTGCAGGACGGGCAGAAGTGTGTGCGGGCCCGACTGAGCCTCACTGAGGGCCTGTCCTGGGGTCCATTCCATGGGAGCATCCAGACCAGAGCCTTATCCCCTGAGCGGGAAGAACCGGTAAGGAGCTGAACCCCAACTGGACAACCAAACCTCTTGCCTTTATCCATGGGGAACTTCAGTGGAACCCAAAGAGCCAAGGGTAAAAGGGAGGGACTTCCTGGGAGGCCTCTGAAGGGGGTGATGCTGTGCTTTTGGGGATCCCAGGGTGACTTCCTAAAGGAGTAGAGCCCAGCAGGGAAAAGGAAGAGTGTCCAAAGAGAGTGAGCAGCAAGGAGCAGGGTATCCATCAGGTTGGGAGGGAAAGGTGCCCAGGGGTGGGTCGCAGCTTGAGTGAAGGAGAGGCTGCAGAAGATAAGTTCCTTCTGACACAGAAACAGGTGCTGGTGTAGGCATGGCTTTCCGGCACTGGCTCAACTTGCTCACAATAACAGCCCTGCCTGGGCAGAGATTTCCTAAGGCAGCCTCCTTCCGGACACAAAACTACACTACCATTTGTCTTGGACTTGCTTCTGAGGCTGCTTCTGTAATGGCAAGTCAGCCTGGCTTCCTCCTTGGGATGTGTGGGTTCCTTTTGAAATCATTTCAGATGGAAAAGGACAGCAGGACACAGAGACCTGATTACAAACATGGGGCAGCTGCATAGGTAACTGATGAGCAGGAATTGGAGGGGCTTGTGCAATGTTCAGAGACATATGATGGCAAAGGCCTGGGAGGCCCAACAGCTCCTAGGCCAGCCCTGTCAAGCCTAGTCTTTATGCCAGAGCACTGTGGTGTAGGCCCTCTGTCTCCTAATGTGGCATTCGGGTGTGGCTTGATCCAAGATATTCACTGGCCGGCCAGTGCCACATGCTGCTGGGTTCTTTGAGCTGAGGACTGCCTTTTTAGTCCCCTTTGCAGGTGAGGCTGAGACTGTGGGCTGTACTTCCCCAGCATCTGGAGGTCAGGATGTTGCACACACATGTGCACAGACTGCTGACACAGTGGCCATAGGCAGGTGGGGAGCATCAAACAGGTCCCTAGCACAGACCACCACTCACAGCCCCTTCTGCACTAGTTATATGTGGTGACTCAAAGTCTCTATGTTGGGATAGCCTTTCTCATGCTGGAAAAGGCTCACAGGGTTCAAATAAGCCACCTCCAGAGGCTTGCAGCCTGGTCACATAGCTTTTCAGCCACCAGGATAGGTATACTTGTCCCAAGCTGTCCAGTGAGAGCAGAAGTTGGTCCTGGACTAAGCATGTTCGCCTGGGGTTTTCTGTTTCCAATGTCCCAGGCAGATCCCTTCCTGCTCAGAGCCACTCTTTCCTCAGCCCTTGGGATCACAGGCAGGTCACATGGAACCTAGAGGCTTCCTTTAGGCCTAGACCTGAAGAAAATATAAGGCCAGGCTGTGTTGCTTGCCTGCTGGCAGCTGTGTGGAGTGAGATAGGCCTAGAGTGGTACTTAACCCTGTACCTCAGAGCAATATAGCCTGAGGAAGGAGGCTAGCCCAAGGTCCAGGGAAGGATGCCATGATGCACACCACAGCTGGTTAAGGTCCTGTAGGACGGAAGACAGCATTCAAAGTGGCTCTACAGGGTGAGCATGTTGTTGTGTGCAGTAGACAGCAAGTGACTTGGAAACCACTGGCACTGGTTAGTCAGAAAAAGGAGTCCTTGTGCCGCCAGTCAGCAACAGGAGCAAAGGCAGGTCTGCCCAGGAACTGGCACCCAGGTCCTGGTGTGCCCTGTGTCAGTTTCCTCTTTATTCCTTGGGTCAACCCAAGCTAGGACAAATAAGTATGTCCCCAGGCACACTCTACATGGCATCCTCCCCAAACCCTACAAGGCGGGCCACTGTCCCAGTTTTTAAAATTTATTCTCCCCCTTCCTCTCCTTGTGTCTGTCCATCTGTCCCTCCACACATATAACATGTGGAGGTCAGAGGACAACTTACAGGAGTTGATTTGTTCTCTCTACCTTTTGGGTCCTGGAGAATAAACCCATATTGCCAGCCTTAGAGGCAAGCCTCTTTACCCACTGACCCATCTCCTTAGCCCCAAATGTCCCCATTTTAAAGATGACAAAGCTAAGGCTAGAACCTTAGGGAGAGCTAGAACCTAGCCCAGCTGTGCTCAAACTCTTCTCCTGCCATCTCAAGCCACCCCTCCTCACAAGAGCCTCTGTCCCTACCACCCTTTGTTCCCAGTTTGTCTCCTGAGAAGGGGGCAAGAACTAGACTCCCCACCCAGGTGTGAGATGCTGGCCAATGGAGTGGAGTCGCAATGCCCCTGAAGCTCCTAGAAGAGGGAGGAAGCGCCTCCCTCACTCCCCTCTATCTCACAGAATTAAATCCTTGATTAACCCTTATCTCCCCAGCAAGGCACTATCTCCGCCTTGGCGCCAAGCGTCCAGACACACGGTACAGATGATTGATTTCTGAAAGATATGGGCGCCTTTGCGATACTTCGTTTATTGTCTAAATATTTTTGCTAACATTCAGCGAGCTCTTATCAAGTTCGGCTGATGGGTCCCAGTTCTCCCCACAGCCTAGGAAGAAGTCGCCTCCTGCCCCATGGCCCTATCAGCTGCCAGGCAGTTCTTCCTCTCCCCTAAGAGAAGGAGGAGGGAGTGTGTGCAGATATGGGGCCCCTTCCCCTGGGCTTTTCTTAGGCTGGGGGCTGCTCGCCATGGGGACATGTTGAAAGGGAAATTCCCCCAACACTCCACCCACACCAGACAGATATCCAAGGTTAGTATCCAGGAAGGAAACTGAGTCACACGGCCCTGAATGGAGAGTTGGAGATCTTGAATCTATGGCTTACCATGGTGTCCATTGCCTGTAAAAGGCTTCTTAGAATCCCAGCTCCACAATGTACCTCACCCCCAAATGTTCAGGATGGGTTAATGAAGAGGGAGGAGATGAGGATGCTAAGTGGATGGGTGTATTGATGAATGTAAGGTGGATGATGAGTGAGTGGGTGAGTGGATGGGTAAATGAGAGTAGATGGGTGGATGAATAGTAAACAGATAAGGATGGGTATATGAGTAGATGGGAGGTAAGTGGATGGATGAGATATGGATGCATAAATGGTTACTTAGATGGATAGACGGACGGATGGATTATAGGTGGGTAGGGGAATTAATAGTGGGTGGATCAATCGATAAGTGAATGTGTAGACATGTATTCATAAACGGGTACATGTGTGGGTGGACAGATGAATAGATTGAGAGTAAGGGGGTAGTAAATGGATGGATAGACAAGTGCATAGATGGTTGGTAAGTGGGTGGCTAGACAGGTAGGTGACTGGATGTGTGGAAGAATGGATAAACAAACACAGAAATGGATGCATGGATAGATGAATGGTGAGTGCATAGCCATTCACCCCAGCCTGGCCATGCTAGCTCTGCCTGTTCATTGTTCCCCTCAGCTTACTTATTTTGGCCAGGAGCCCACCATAACATCTGGGAAACCAGGGGAGGGCCCATGACTGCAAAGCAGGGAAAGATGCTAGAGAGACTAAAGCGAGACCATCTGGGTCCAGCCTCCACATGGCTTTGGGCAAGTGTTCACTTAAGTGTGAAATGGCTTTTAGGTCAAACACTAATGGCCTGGGGACCTCCACCTGAAATTTAAGCTAGGGAACCTCGGCTAGCATGGCAAAACCCAGACTCACCTCAGACCCCACCCTAGCTAGGGACTTAAGGAGAGTGCTGAGGCAGCTTGGTTGTCAGCCACACATCTCTGTAACTAGAAGGAAAGGGTGCCCAGGGAAGGCATCATTTCCAGGACATACAGCCTAGTTGTGCTCACCACTGCTTTATCCAGACAGGGATGTACTATGTTTGAGTCCTTCTTTGCTGACCTACCAGGGCATTCTAAGCCCCATCTTACGGTCTAGTGCTTAGAAGAGATGGTAGCCCAGCCTCAGGGACCTCAGCTGGAAACGTCTATCTGGTATAGTCTGACAGCAGGCAGATCCTCCCATAGATGTCCCCTGAGTGCTACAACCTGGTGTCTCCGTTACACTCTATCATGGTTGAAAACAGTGGTCACTATCCTAGTGGGTAGAGGTGACCCTGTGGGTCTCTGAGGCAGAGTCTGCCTGAGGCCTCTGGTGGCCCCAGCACCCTTGGCCGTCACTGTCTGCTGCTGACTTCATGTGGCTTCCATCTCCCCTTGGCTCTTCTCTTTTTAGGTTGCCAATGGGCCCAGGACTGCCCTGCTTCAGATTTTCATTTTGAAATTCTGAACTCAGATTTGTAGGACCCTTCCTCTAAGTGAGATAACTCTCACAATTCTGGGGACATCCGTGAAGCCACCATTCTGCCCACTCCAATGAGACAGGAGTATCATTTGGCTGGGTCACCAGGCAGAAGTGAAAGTGGACTTCTAGTCTAGGCTTTCTGCTGCCCTTGTGGGGGCCTGGGCACCCTTCTTCTCCATGCTGTGGTAGGAGCTTAGGAAATACCCAGCGCCAGGCTCTGCTCATGCTCTCCCATCTGCTCCTGAGCTAGAGCAGCTGTAGCCCCCCTGCAGCTACCTCATCTGTGGGCCCCAAAGTCGCCCAAGTTAAAAGGCTGGTGACTAGGAGGTGAGCAGTGGGTTATTCCAACAGAGGGATGCTGGCAAGGATGCACCTTCCCTGCAGGTGGTCACTGCTCTCCTGGGTCACAGTCACTCTATCTCTCTGCCCGTGATGGCCAGAACTCTCCCTGGCTAGTCTTCTAACACAAAGCCCTGTTAACAGCAAGCCCAGACCTGGCCCTTGCTGGTCCCTTGTCTCCTATTGTCTTTGACCCTTAACAGGCCCTGGCCCTTCCTCTTTGCTGTTTACTTTGCCCTAGCACCTGGCAGACAGCTGGCCTCCAGGGACTATCTGAGGGGTGAATGAATGAATGAGTGAATATGTGACTGAAGGGCCACTGGGATGGCTGAGCTTCTCTCTCAGACCTTGGTTCTAATCCTGTGATTAGATGTGGGCTTCAGCCCTGCACGTGTGAAGTAGGCAATGGGCATCTGGGGAACAGAAAGGAGTCCTGGGCTGTCATTACTGTGGAAAATGAGTGGATCAGTAAATTCTTAGCACAAGTGGATGGACAGGAGAGAAGTTAGATTGGAGTGACCCTATGGCCACAGATCTCAGCCCTGGTTCTCTAGCCCATAGAGACCTAGAGTCCAGGCAGCAGTGTGGGATGCCATTTCTGGGCCAAGCTGCCCACCTGAAAGGGCCTGCCTTCCCTATAAATGGCTTTATAGTTGGGCAACAAGGTTTGGGAGCAGCCTCAGATAAAGTTGTTGTAGCAGATGGTGCACAGATATGGTTTCTGATGGCTATCGGCCCATAGAGTCCAGACACTGACCCCTTTGTTGGGGGGAATGGGAGCAGGCTCAGATCCAGGGGAGAATTTAAAGTGGCTGACGTCACCCTAGCCTGGGGGCTGGGGATGAGAGAGCCAGGAGGAAGAGACATGGTGACTTGAAGGGCAGCAAGTGGGATGAATGCCAGGGCCCTTCTCTGACCCTGGACACACCTGTACAGATCAAGTGGGTAAGGCACTGAGACCAGGGAGAGAGATGGTTGCATCATGCCTCTGATGGTCTCTGCAAAAGGGCCAGGCTATGAAAACTAAACATGAGCCCCATACTGAAGATATAGCTTGACTGGTATAGTACTTGCCTAATATGCACAAAGCCCTGGGTTCAGTCCCAGTATTCATAAACCAGCCATGGTGGTACACACCTGTCATCCCAGGAATCAAGGGGTAGAAGCAAGAGTTTGAAGTTCACAGCCATCTTTGGCTATGTAGCAAGTTCAAGGCCACCCTGGATTACAGAAGAACCTGTCTGATAGCTCTCCCATCTGAAAAATAAAATAGACTCTATTCAGGCCTGTTCCTTGCTGCCCATGGGTGGGGCAGGACCCTGTGGGGCTTTGACTGGTGCCTTCAGCAGAGAGGGGCTTCTGTTCCAGAACTGCTCAGAAATAAGAAACAAACTAAAAGAAAGAAAGAAAAGAACCAAGCCACACACAGGGACCTTAACCTGTCCTGCCACCCCAGCCACTGCCAGAGTAGATCAAAGAGTAGCCCTGGCTGACATGGAGGTTGTGGGCCAAACTGGGAGCTGACCAGGGATGTCAGGTCGGGTTGAGCTGTGCTCCATCCTCCAGGGCCTGAGAAATCCAGATAGAAAGAAGAGGGAATGTAATCCCTGTTTCAAACCCCAACCTGTCCTGACCCAGTGGGAAGCAGAGAAGAAGGACCATGGATGGAGGTCCAGGACATGTGTTTGGGGGTAGCCAGGATCTCATGACCTGTTTTCCTGGGGAGTTAACGTGGTTATGAACAGCAGTCCTAGCTCCCCGCTAGCTCTGTTCCCCAAAGTTGCACCACATGTGGCAGTGCTGCCGGAGGGGGATGCTGCTGGAGGGGGATGCAGTATGGTGCTCCCTACACTGGGACCTCCACAGAAAGAGCGGCTTGTGCAGCGTCAGCAAAGTGGTGCGCGCGTGTTTTTATCATGCCGTGAACATGCTGCTCCAGAGAGCGATAAGCGTTAAACCGACCGCAAGGCTGTCAGTCTCAGTTTGAGGGTTTAGAAATATTGGGACGAATAATTAGATTTCATATCGTTACCACAGCACCCATCAGAGGATCAGGCAGATTAATTTTCTCACCCTCCTCTGCTCATTAATATTCATTAGAGACCTGGAAGGCTGAGGCAGGGAGGGCCAGACCCAGCCACCTCACTGACAGCCATCTGCTCTGGCCTGGAACAGCTAGGCGATGGGAGTCATAGGTTCCCCAATGTGGATGCCACACCCCATGTGCTGCATTATCCCTCGGGTTTGCGCCAAGCTACCCTTGAAGGCATACCTATTCACTGCATTCCTGGGAGTCAGCCAGGTACCCATTAAGAATGAGCCACCTCCCTGACACCAACAGAGCTGAAGCAGGCTCTTGGGTAGAATACACTCCCTCAATGGACATCTGGCAATTGCCAGCCTGGTCCAGGACCCTTTAAGGCTTGTACCTGGGCCCAGAGATACCTGTTCACATCATCCTTCAAGCAAAGCCTAAGGTAGCCATGGCCAGTGTGTGCAGCTCCACAGGCTTCCCGTATACCCATACTCATCAGTATCCAGGGAGGAAAGAGTCACAGAGAGTGGAATTGCCTGCCTGTGACCCCCTGAGAGCTGGTGGCAGGACAAGGAGGAGTCCACAGCCAGCAGGAGCTTCCCTCGACCTAGCTTCACAGCAACTATGACATGTGGGCCTCATGAGGCCAGAGGTGTAGTAGGTGTTACCTGCCGAGACTCTAGGGTTCCCCTTCAGAGTCAGCTTATCTCCACTCTCTGCTCCATGACAGGCCACGTGGCAGCAAGCAGGTGACGTGGAAGCCTCCTGGCTGGGCTGTCGTGACCTCGTGGTTCATGGTCACTGGGAGTTCCCAGCTAGTAGGCCTTATCATGCTGGCTCTGTGTATGCCATGTGAATGGGGGTCTCAGAAGAGTTGATCCACAGGGGTCACAGGGGAAAGGTCAGGCCTACCTTAGACCCTGATGTTTGGCTCAGGAGTCTCTATGAGCACCACACACAAGGAAAGCCAAGCAGAGTCCTGGCAGGGTGGTGCCCACACAATCAGCAGCCGGTTTCTCCTCCTCCTCCAGCAGCCAGTTGTTTGTCTTTCCTACCCAATGAGCCAACTGCCATGAACATCACAGGGGTTCTTAAGACCCACAGAATGAGAAGTGGCTCTGGATCTTCAGTTAAAAGTTCGTTCTCGAGGTACAGGTTTCTGGTTAAAAGGCATTTATTTGAATAAAACAGTGAGTGGCTGACAATAATGCATGGACATGCTCTTTACTTTTACACAGTACCCAAGTGGCTGGGTTCAGGGGCTCCCCACAGGAGGGGAGATGCCCTGGGTAGCAGAAGTCACACACCCTCCAAGGACAAACAGCACAGGGCTTCTGCTGCCCCTGCTTGCCTGCCACTGGCTATGTCTCATCCTCCACATGAGACTAAATCCCAGCCCAGCCTTCCAGCCCAGGCTACACTGAGACACAGCCACATATACTTCCTTTGCTGCTGGGCTGCAAGCCAGGGTGTAGGGGGCAGGAAACAAGCAGCTTTGGTGGCCCTGGGGGGGGGGGGCTGATCCCAGACCTCTTCCTTCCAGGTCTAGACCAAGCTGCAGAGGAAGTGTGTGGCACAGCCCTAGGCTGGAACTTCTACCCTTTACCCGGCCTCAGCATCCTTGCCTTTAGGATGGTGAGAGGGTATAGAACTGCAGCTACCTCTACCCCTTTACTCAGCCTCAGCAATGCTGGTCTTGAGCTGGGGTGGCCCACCACAGTGAAGCAACAGTGCTGCCCATGACCAGACAGGGATAAACCCTCTGCCCTGCGCTAGAGAGGAAAACTCTACTGTAGGGGACACAGGCTCGCTCTCACTCACTCGCTTTCCCTCCCTCCCTCCCTCCCTCCCTCCCTCCCTCCCTCCCTCCCTCCCTCCCTCCCTCCCTCCCAAGGAACTGGTACCCTGTAGCTCCCTGCAGGCATCCACTGTTGCTGGGGAGGAACAGCAGGTCTGCAGGCTCTAGACTCACTAGCTATATGCCCTTGGGCACACTGCTTGATCTCTCCAGACCTTTGTTTCCAAGAGAGACTAATGCCTAACCTTGGAAAAAGCAGCTCTCCGCTGTGCCTCCAAATATCATAGTGTTTGGACTATACATCCCAGCCATATCAGCTGTCAGGCCACTAACCACCATTACACAGCAAAGTCCCAATAAGCATTCCTATATAGGCTGATCCTTTCCTGTGCCTGCTCTTCCCTAGGGCCCAGCTGTGACCCTGCTGGTGGATGAGGCCTGCTGGCTAAGGATGCTACCCCAGGCCCAGACTGAAGCTGAAGCCAACTCTGAGATCTACAGGAAGGGTCTGTCTCACATGCCTGCCTCCCTCTCCTCTAAGGTCTTTCAGAAGGTGGGGCCACTTGGCTCTGTCTGTCCCAGCTCTTAAAGGGACACCAGCCTATGTGGGTAAGAGTGAGAGTCAAACTGCTTGAGACAGCACCCAGAACCCCATCTAAGAGGATGACGGACAATCTTAGGAGTTGGAGTCCTGGGCAAATCATATCTACTGACAAAAGAGCTAGATGAGCTGCACTGGCTCCCCCTATGGCCACTGACTTTGCTCCTTCTCCATCTGGGCTTAGGTAGAGACTGCTGAGGAACTCTGGGGGCCACTGAAGGGCAGAAACCTGAGGCCCAGCCTGGGTTCTGTTAGACTGTGTTCAGACTCAGACCCATCCCTTACTAGCTATAGGACATGCATAAGTTCCTCTAGAAAACGGGAAATGGCTGTGGTCAAATAATTTTATCCTACTTGACCCCCTCTATCTCTCCAGCCTTCTAAAAGTGTGGGGGGGGGTTCAAATGTGCTCTCCCCTCAGCTAAAATATTCTGGAAGCTTTGTACATAAAGTCAACTCCTGAGTAGGCCCTCAGGGAAAGCAGAGCACCATTCCCAAGGTCCAAAGGTATTAAGAATTGGGGTCAAGTATGTGGGACCTGTGCCAACACTTCATCCTGTGTGTGTGTGTGTGTGTGTGTGTGTGTGTGTGTGTGTTTCCCTATCTGCAGGGCAGAGGGGACCATATTCCCCATCCTACCAAAGGGTGATCTAACAACCCAGAGAGAGCAGCCAGAGTGCAGTCTGTACTAGAAAGAAACATGCTCCAACATCAGATTGGATGCTGGCAAGCCATCAGCTAGCCATGTGTTTGTACCATTAAGCCTGCCCTTCTGCCCAAGTGTGCTGTCCACAAAAGACAAGGCTCCTTATAGGGCTGATGATGATAAAAATGACATGATCTGGGCAGGGCCTGCATTTTGGGAAATAGAAGCCAAGTAGACAGGTTCATAATGACCCTAGAAATCCTGTGGTCTTTGTTGAGTGATTTTTTTCCTATATCACCTTTGCCCCCAAATTGGGACTTACCCAGGCTCTACACTGCAGCTCAGCTCCTACTGCTGCTTTAGGACAAACGTACTCCTCTTTCTTTTCCCATTTTTTGGTGGAAGTGGCTTGGGACTGAGGCCAGCAGTGACCCTGTCCACAGCTCAGGGAATCACAGCCTCAGGATTCCAGGCCAGAGTTAAAAATGCTGGCCCAGCACACCAGTGTTTTGTTGATTGAGGCTGCCCTCTACAGGCCACTATAGGAACAGCAACTGGCCTATTCCCAAAAGGATGAAGAACCTACATCAGAAATCCCCTCCACTCCAGCCAAGTGGCTATACAAGATCCCCTCAATTATTGCTGCCAGTTCCATACCCAGCCTTTTCCTGGAAATGGAATGTCCCCAATTCTTGCTCAGACACAGGATAACACCCCACAAATCCAGCTAGGTACAACTGTGAACCTGAATAAAGCCACTTCCTGCCATTTGCCTGGCCCCACCTATCCCTGACAGTACAGTGGGCCCCAATGTGGGGGACATTGTAAGCCCAGAACCAATGATCCCAGCATCATAAATGCCTGTACCCTACAGATGATGCCCTCTGGTGCAGGGTCACCAAGGTGGTACCTTCTGGTGGACTACTACATGTGCTCCTTGTGACTGAGCCCCACAGTACTCCCAGACACCCTGTGCAGGAACCAGTAGAACCTGGAGGCCCAGCCCCAGCACACACAGACATCCAGCTGCTTCCCCAGCAGGCTGGCATGGCATCCATCCTCGCTACTGCAGTCATCAACAGTAAGTATACAATACCCTAGGGCAGACTTTGAGTGACACACAAGTCAAAGATCAGGTCTGGGACGTAACTCAGAAGTGCTAGGTGTTCAGATGCAAGAGGTGCAGTTTCTACACACACACACACACACACACACACACACACACACACACACACACACACGGGGGGGGTGAATTGTGCTCCCAGTAAGACACTGAACTGAAGAACAGTACCCAGCTAATGCAGAGTGGCTTGAGTGCTAGAAGAATGCACATGGCTTGCTAAGGTAGGAAGGGCTCAACCCTAGGGGTCCCATGAGAAACATGCAGTGAGGCTGGGGGTGGGGGGTATGTTTGCTCTAAGGCAATAGTAGAAGCTGAGTCCATAGTACAGGAACAGGAGACTCCCCAGAGCCTGGGTGATTCCTACAGTGTGAAGAGGACTCATGAGTAGATCTAGGTCACTGTTGTGGGACAGGGGTGACCTGCAGGAATAACTTGGAGACCCCATTCCTGGTAGGGCCCTAGGCATCAGGTTTACCAAAAGCCAGTACCTCAGCTTGAAGTCATGAAAAGCAGACTTCACAGAGCCATTCCCTACTATCAGATACTCACTGTCAGTCTGTACCTCATCCCCACTTTCACCCCTACCAGAAGATGTCTTCCCCTGCAAAGACTGTGGGATCTGGTACCGTAGTGAGCGGAACCTGCAAGCCCACCTGCTCTACTACTGTGCCAGCCGCCAGCGTGCAGGCTCCCCTGCCTCAGCGACTGAGGAGAAGCCCAAGGAGACCTACCCCAATGAGCGAGTCTGCCCCTTTCCCCAGTGCCGAAAGAGCTGCCCCAGTGCCAGCTCGCTGGAGATTCACATGCGCAGCCACAGTGGTGAGTGCCCCCTGCCTGCTCCTGGCTTCCCTGCCCTTGACATATCCAAGCACTACACACCAGACAGGTGCTCAGGAAAATGTTCTCTGCTACCCTGTGCCCATGCAGCTCTCCTGTCCCTCTCCACAGTCTAGCACAAGGCTTACCTGCACAGGTAATACAGGGCTAGGTGTATGCCTGCAACTTGGGAGGCATGTGGCTAATAAGAAACTAAAAGGGGCCAGTATCCAGTATCCGTCTCTGGGGTCTAAGACAGCCTCTCATCTCTGTGTTTCAGGAGAGCGCCCCTTTGTGTGCCTCATCTGCCTGTCAGCCTTCACCACCAAGGCCAACTGTGAACGCCACCTCAAGGTGCACACAGACACACTCAGCGGTAGGTGGGCTGGAGAGGGTCGGGATGGGGTCTCTGGGGCCACACCTTACCTCCAGAACCCTGACCACAACAGCATGGCCTGCAGGTGTCTGTCACAACTGTGGCTTCATATCCACCACAAGGGACATCCTCTACAGCCACCTGGTGACGAACCACATGGTATGCCAGCCAGGCTCCAAGGGTGAGATCTACTCTCCAGGGGCTGGACATCCAGCAGCCAAACTTCCTCCAGGTAAGCAGCCATTCTGGGGCCTCACTGACCCTCTGATAAGTGGAAAGGGAGGGGGCCTGTCCATAGGCAACACATGATGTCTTTGTCAGTCTTTGTCCTAAATCCTTCTGCCTAATCTATCCTACATAGGGCCTGCCCCAGGCCTGACATGCAGTCCTGTGTTCTTTAGACAACCTCGCAGGCTTCCAACAGCACTCACTGATGCACAGCCCCCTGGCTCCCGCTGACAAGGCACCCACCCCATCCTCCGGACTGGACAATAAGACTTTGGCCGAAGTCACCAACGGAGAGTCCAGAGTGCCCCCCCAAAATGGGGGCAGCAGCGAGTCCCCAGCAGCCCCCAGAACCATCAAGGTGGAGGCTGCAGAAGAGCCTGAAGCAGCTCATGCCTCAGACCCAGGAGAGCCCGGTCCCCAGGCTCCCTCTCGGACACCTTCACCGCACAGCCCCACTCCAGTCAGGGTGAAGACAGAACTGTCCAGCCCCACACCAGGCTCCAGCCCGGGGCCTGGAGAGCTAGCAATGGCTGGGACGCTCTTCCTGCCACAGTATGTGTTCGGTCCGGATGCAGGCACGACCACAGGTCCTGCAGCGCCACAGGCCTCAGAGATCCTGGCCAAGATGTCCGAGTTGGTGCACAGCCGGCTGCAGCAGGGTGCAGGGAGCTCCGGGGCAGTGGGAACGCCCACCGGCCTCTTCCCCGGGACTAAAGGCGCCACGTGCTTTGAGTGTGAGATCACCTTCAACAACATCAACAACTTCTACGTGCACAAGCGCCTCTACTGCTCCGGTCGCCGCGCGCCAGAGGACACGCCCGCCGTGCGCAGACCCAAGGCGGCCCCGGTGCCGGCCCGCGCGACCCCAGGAGCCGCTGCAGAGACAGACCCGCAGCGCTCGTCGCCGGGGCCCGGGCCGCGAGAGGAAGAGGCGGGTGGCGCGACCACTCCAGAGGCCGAGGGCGCGGGCCGTGGCAGCGAGGGCAGCCAGAGCCCGGGCAGTTCGGTGGACGACGCGGAGGACGATCCCAGCCGCACGCTGTGCGAGGCCTGCAACATCCGGTTCAGTCGTCACGAAACCTATACTGTGCACAAGCGCTACTACTGCGCCTCACGCCACGACCCGCCACCGCGCCGGCCACCAGCACCAGCGCCGGCTCCCGGACCTGCGGCTCCTGCGCTGACAGCTCCGCCCGTGCGCACGCGCCGGCGACGCAAGCTCTATGAGCTGCCGGGAGCCAGTGCTCTGCCTCCTGCAGTAGGCCCCGCCCCTGTGCCTGTTGTCCCCGCCCCCACGGCTGAGCTGCCCTCATCTCCGAGACCTGCGAGCGCAAGCGCCGCCCCTGCCCCCACGCCCTCTCCAGGCCCGGTCCTGGAAGGACCCATAGACCTGAGCAAGCGGCCCCGTCGCCAGACTCCAGATGCACCTGCCACTCTGCCTGCTCTGGCGGACTACCATGAGTGTACTGCATGTCGCGTAAGCTTCCACAGCCTCGAAGCTTACCTTGCTCACAAGAAATACTCGTGCCCCGCTGCGCCGTTGCGCACTGCCGCCCTCTGCCCCTACTGCCCGCCCAACGGGCATGTGCGCGGAGACCTAGTGGAGCACTTGCGCCTGGCACACGGCCTGCAGGTAGCCAAGCCGGCAGCCAACCGAGGCGCTGAGCCTCGCACGCCGGCTGAACGTGCTCCGCGTGATAGCCCCGACAGACGGGCGCCACGCACGCCATCCCCAGTTCCAGAAAACACGCCTTCTGAACCAGCAGACCAAGGAGTGCGGACGCCCTCCAAGGGCCCGCCCGCGTCTGCTCCTGCATCAGGTGGTGGTGGTGGCCACCGCTACTGCCGCCTGTGCAACATCAGGTTCAGCAGTCTGTCCACCTTCATCGCACACAAGAAGTATTATTGCTCCTCTCACGCCGCCGAGCACGTGAAATGAGTCTGCGGGGCCGCACCGCCTGGACCCTTGGCACTTAATAAAGACGTTCAGTGTGACAAGCTCGCTGATGGGCCAGCCTGTTGTCTTAGATCCAGTGGGTCTCATTCCATACCCCAGCCTGTGCAGACCTGCAACGGGTACCCCACCAGGACCTAGCCCATTCCAGAGCTCTTTTCCTCTACTTCTAGCTCACCCCCAGCCCTGCTACCTTGGGTGTCCAATTGCAGGCCCCTAGGGAGAACAAACTTTCTATTTGCTGAGTTTGCAAGGAAAGACACCAAGTGCCAAAGGGGCCCCGACCCATCGCAACCTGGGTGGGTCCCTATAAGTACTGAGATGGCACTGCAGATACCACATGTAGTCTGTTATTGGCTGGCTGTAGACCATGCCTGGCAGATCCCATCCAACCTCAATATAGCCATTGCCTTGGCCTCTTCTTTACTTGGTCCCCTGAGAAGGCAAACATGCCTGTTCTCCAACTCTCTAAGTCTTAAGTAGCAGCTATAGAGGTTGGAAGTACCTCTGGGGACCTGGAGCCTGGTTTGCCTCTCACTCAGCCCTCTAAGGTGACCTGGAATGGGCCTGGGTTTGCACAAAAATAAATGTTCCTGAGAGCCATTCATGGGCCCTGCCCAACTTACCACAGGGGTACACAAAAGCCACACATTTCCAGTAGGAGTTGCCACACATCACCAGGTCAACTGGAGCCCACCCAGGGTTTGGCTAGCAATGGAACCTGAAAAATCAGCCAGTGTTTGTCTTGGGTCCCCATTTCACAATAGCCAGCTGGTGAGAATTTACATAAAAGGCTCTGGTTTCTATTCAAAGCCTGATAGAAGACAAATGCCTCCCAAGTCTGGACACACGGCTCTCTAGCAGTTTGAATATAGTTTTACAGTGTGTACCTGAAGTTATTTAAAGGTTATGGGGAACATCAGGAAAGTGGGCTGATGGGTAATTGATGCTTGAATGACAGAAGGTCCATGGTGGCCCCCAGCCTCCCCCTTGAGCCCCATCCCATGCATACACAGCTACAGACAAGGTTCTGTACCACAGGCTCCCTGTATCATCTGGGCCTGCCTCAGTGAGGAGACCCTGTGACTCTCACCCAGGCTGAGCTGCACAACAGGCTGTACCCTGTTACCCAGAGGTCCCGCCTGCCATCCACTATCCCCACCTTGGGCAGTAAGAGCGTGTTATCATAGGCTGGTAAGAGGCTTTTGAGCAGAAGTGTGAGCTTCACATGGCCCCTGCTATGGGGCACAGTTTATGGTCAGGAACAGAAGCCAGGTGTTCACCCTGGGCCTGTGCTCAGTTCACCCATACCTATGCTTAGAACTCACTCAGTCCCAGCATACTTCCACAGATGCCAACAATCCCTGTGTGCCCTGGTGTATATCCCATTCTCCTCTCCCTGAGATCCCCTTGGTTTTCCAGCACTGCCCAATGACCTCTGCCCCTTACAGGTATAGTCGCCATAGCAAGACAGCCAACTGACACTTCACACACCTCCTGACCCTAGATGTCTGGCCTGTTCCTGAGAGGAGGGCCCCTATCCGTTGAGTTCATAGCCATAGGCAAACTCATTAGCCACCTTCATCCATACCCAGCAGTTGATCCCCAATCACAGACCCCAAAGTCAGTTACCATCACTGGTCTGCCTATGTCTACCCCCCCCAAGTAAACCCATATCACCCATATGACACCATGTCACCCTCTAATCAAATGTGTTCCAGCCTACCATTTCTACCCACCATAAACAGAGTTGTATGTGCAACCAACACCATAGCCACCTCAATGCTCCCCACTGAGTGCCGAGGAGACTGTTTGCTAAGCCATGATGGCTTCCTTCAGTCCTGCCTGTCACACACCTCCCCTCAAGACAGCCTCAGACCACCATGATCTCCCTCTTAGTGCCCTGCAGGCAAGACAGACTTGCACCCCTGCCTCTGTGCTCCCTGCCCAGTGCTCCACTCTGTAGGGCTGTGCTGGTCACCGAGGCTTGATGGTGTCCATCTGTCCTTGCACCACCTCCCCCCCCACCTCATGATGCTTGGTATCTGTGAAATGACACGGGGAACTGCAGTTCCCAGCCTCTCATCTCTGCTAGCTGTACAACCCCTTATCTTCCCCAGGCACTGGAGTTATTCCATGGATAGGGACACCAAGGTTCAGTGGTGCTGAGCCCCTGTCAGAGCACCTCTGGTACAATTGGGCTTTTGCCATGTTGGCTGGTCTACCCCCAGCACTAGGAATCTTAAGCACCTGTGTGGAGCTCAGTCCCGTAGAAGTCCACCTGGCTGACCAGGAAAGGTTATGCTGGCAGTGTTTCCCTTCCAAAGATCTCATGTACTGTCTATTGGTCTGATGGGGACCCCCATAGAGATCCTTCTCCCAACCCCAGCAGACCACCCCTACCCCAGTCTTGCTCTTGATTTCAAAATTAGTGGAGACTCAGGACAGTAGAGGGCAGTGATGGCTCATGCAAGCATCTGGCTGTCCTGCCACCATGCTTAGCTAGTGCTGCCTGCCCATCAAGAAATGTATGACCCCTGAGGAAAAGGAAGGGGGGAAGAGGTGGGCAGATCCTCAGAGCATACTTCCGCATCACCTGTCTCAGATCACCTAAACACACATGCCACAGGGCTTCTAGACAGGAATCTAGACCTGCTCAGGGGCCTCATTCACATGTCCTGACAGGTGCACAGGTGCACAGCATTTGCACCTTCCTCGAAATCGTCGTGAGAGTGTATAGGGCCCACCTGCTGAACAGACTGTCCTCAGTCCTGGGGAGGGAGGGGCTGTGCTGGGAGGGGGAGCTGACACAAACTTCATCCCATGGAACCTGGCTCCTTACATGGCAGCTCCACTCTGGCCTGTTCCGTCATTCACACATCCTGGACATGAGAACCGAATCTTCTGCCCTCACCAAGCCCAGGATACGCTGCACGGAGCAGCCAGGCAGCAGGTCCATTGAGGCACACCAGAGGACAGCTAGATAAAGTTTGCCCTGGAACTGATCAGAATGTGTTGACCAGGGATTGGTGGAGGGAGGAACCACACCCTGGATGTCCTGGAAGTGGCCTGTACATTCCAATTGCTCCAGGTTGAACCCCGTGCCCCAAGCACTCAGTCAGTAGGGACTAGAGCAGTCCTTGTACCTCAACTTCATTCTGAAAGTCTGGATTACACTAGCAGATCTAGCTTCCCCAGAGGTCAAATGGTCTACTCAAGGGCACCATTCTCAGTTGGAGCCCCGCCTCTCCCACCCATGTGTGAGGGCCCTCCAACCATAGAGGTCAGAGTGTTCTTCCTGTACCCTCACTTCCGCTCCCTAGTCTCCTTTAGCCTTGGAGCCTCATGGGCCCCATAGGTGTGGGCAGTGAGGCCTGGGTGCCCTTGGGCCCAGCATCTATCTGCCTGTCTCCAGTGTGTCCAGTGTCCATTTTAGGACACACTTTAAATGGTTCCTACCATCTTGGATTTTTTGTTTTGTTTGTTTGTTTGGTTGGTTGGTTTTTCTGAGACAAGGTTTCTCTGTGTTACTTTGTAGACTAGGCTGGTCTTGAACTCAGAAATTCACCTGCCTCTGTCTCCCAAGTACTGGGATTAAAGGTGTTTGTCACTGCTACCCAGTTCCTACCATTTTGTTTTTTGTTTGTTGTGGGGGTTTTGTTTTTGCTTGTTTGTTTGCTTGTTTGTGTGGTGTGGTGTGGTGTGTGTGTGTGTGTGTGTGTGTGTGTGTGTGTGTGTGTGTGTGTGTGTTTTAAGACAGGGTTTCTCTGTATTACTTTGGAGCCTGTCCTGGACCTGGTTTTGTAGACCAGGCTGGCCTTGAACTCACAGAGATCCGCCTGCCTCTGCTGGGATTAAAGGCATGCACCACCAATGCCCAGCTCCTACCATCTTGTTTTAAATCCTGTTTTACTTACACCTGTTTTACTTTCCTGTTTTCCTTGGAACTCATTGGGCCTTTTCCCCAGCCTTCTTTGGATTTTAAATGTTTATTTAATTTTGGGTTGTTTTAGATATATTTTATGTATGTGAATATTTTGCATGCATGTATATATGTGTACCACATGCATACCTGGTGCCAGTGGAGGTCAGAAGAAGGTGACTGATACCCTGGAACTAGAGTTATGGATAGTTGTGAGCCACCATGTGCATGCTGAAAACTAAACCTACGTCCTCTGATAGAGCAGCAAGTGCCCTTAACCACTAAGTCATCTCCCCAGCTGCTGGGGTTTTTTTTTTTTGTTTGTTTGTTTGTTTTTTTGTTTTGTTTTGTTTTCTTGAGGCAGGATATAATTATGTAGTCCTGGTTGGCCTGGAACTTGCTATGTAGATCAGGGATCAGGCTAGCCTCAAACTCACAGAGACCTATCTGCCTGCCTCTGCTCCTTAGTGGTAGGATTAAAGGCATGTGCCACCATGGCCAGCCTAATTTAGGATTTTTGTGTCCCATGTTTTACTGTGGGGGTTATTTTAACACTCTGGCTGTGTGATACTATATCCTAAAGCCTAAAAGCCTTCTGCCTTGAGAACAGGAACCTGAACATCTCCAGAGTGAGTTATACTGTGATGTGTGGTTAGTGTAGCTGGTTCGACTCTATAAGCAGCATGTTTTTTTGTTTGTTTGTTTGTTTGTTTGTTTTGTTTTTTTGTTTTTTTCTGTTGCTGGTGGTCGTCATGTTGTTTTGAGACAAGGCAGTCTTGTTATAAAATTTAGGCTGGCCTGGACCTCACAATCTTCCTTCCTCGGCCTCTTGAAAGCTGGGTTTGCTGTTAGGTCCTTTATTTGCTGTTTTGCTATCTTAATCTCCATGGAGCTACCTCCTCCAAGTGGCCCAGACCTGTCTTAGCCAGTCTCTGCCTGGGCCCCACTGGTCCTTGCACACCCTTGTCCTTCTGGTGTGTGGCTACCACTCTGAAGACACTTTCTAGTTATAGAACCGTGATGGCTCTCAGGTCCTGTGACCTCTTGCTGCTATAGGAAACATGTCCCTCTCCTGTCCCCTACAGGCAGAACAGCCTACCTCACAAAGTTACTCCAACTCTGCTAC